TAGTCTTCAATCAAGTGCTTGTGGATTTGATTCTATTTCTGCTAAAATGTTAAAATTGTGTGCTCCTGTATCATATAAACATATTACACATTTGATTAACTGTTGTTTGGAAACTGGTTACTTTCCTCAAAAATGGAAAATCTCTAAAGTGAAACGGATACCAAAAGTAAACAATCCAAAAAGTGTATCAGATCTTCGTCCGATTAGTCTAATTCCTACTTTATCTAAAATTCTTGAAAAAGCAATTTATAATCAAATATATAACTACTGTTGTTCAAATAACGTTTTAAACTATTTTCAGTTTGGCTTCAGAAAAAGTTTTAGTACAACAGTTTTATTGGAAACTACAGATAATATATTTAGGTCACTTGATTCTGGAAATGCAACAGCATTTATTTCACTAGATTTTTCCAAAGCCCTCGACACACTAGACCATGCTTTGCTAATCTCGAAATTAAAATTTTATGGGTTTGATGACACTTCGTTGCAATTTTTCAAATTATACTTAAGTAATCGCCAATAGATGGTAGTCATTGATCATGAAACTTCCGCGTTATCCTTCATAAGTTCCGGGGTGACCCAAGGATCGATTTTAGGACCTATTCTTTTCTTGATTTATACTTGTGATTTATTCACTTGTACGAAGGCGTGTAATATATTGTCTTATACTAATGATACAAATTTGTAATTCCTTTCCCAGTGACACTGAAAACGCTTCTATTAAAATAAACAAAGATTTAGAATCCATAGCTAAATATGCTTATTCCAATAATCTGAAACTTAATCCAAACAAATCGTCCCTATTATCACGTGAGGCGTATGTGTATATCCATTCCCTGGATTATATGCCTCTAAGTGATAAAAGGGACGAAATGTGCGGTTATGTTATTATGTTTTAAAGTCAATCGGCAGGAAATTACACGTAGGTTAAATTTGCACATTGAGGGTAGGTCATTGGATATGTTGTCTCATATCAAAAACCTTGGGCTTATGTTTGATACAGATTTGAGGTTTGTAAAACATGTCTCTTTGTTGATACAGAAATGTTATACAGCATTAAAATTGTTATACAGGGTGATTTTGAATAGAGTAGCACAAACGCTACCAGTGCATCTAGATGAAAAAATAAGGCGAATGAACTAAATATACCTTAGACTTAGAAGTTGCACTCCTGAGGGATTACAGGGTCTTGAATGTTGTAGAGCCAACCAATATTTCCTTCAATTTATCTTGAACGATGTGGCGTAAATCATTTATATTTGGTACAGACATTTGTGCAGTGCGAACACATACTTTCTATTAATATTGTTTAAATATATCCACCAGAGGCGCTGCTGTCGACTACATGCAACATATTACTCCAAAGAATTTTTCACCCTGTATGAAAATACATATCTTATTTACATTTTCGGACGTAACAACTAAAAACAAACATTTTTTCTCTCTTGCATTTTTTCGATAAACGCGATAGTTTTTTTAGATAATTTACGAAAAACAAACTTCGGAAATTTTACAGCGACAATGGTTGCAGTAACAAACACATCAACACACCATTCTGTAATAGAAAAAAAAAATGCCTTTCTCGTAAAGTAATTTTAATAAATTTATTTAAGAGTTTTCTTTATGTAACAAATAAAATTATTTTAAGTGTCTAATTTAAGTAATAATATCTAATTTAATACTACCTACTGTAATCTTGAATGTAATACTACAACATAACGTTATCTTAAAGTAAAAAGTTTCTAAAGAATATTTTCAAAGTAGTTCCCATTTTCCTGAAAACACAATCTAACACGACGATTAAAATTATGACTTACTGTTGCAAATATTTCTGGGTTGTTACGAATATCGTCAGCTGCGAGAAAGATTTTTTGTCGCAATTCTTCAACAGTATTAACAGGAGTAGCATAAACAAGACTTTTCAGTTGTCCCCTTAAGAAATAATCAAGTGGGGTAATGTCCGGTGAATGGGCAGGCCAACTAACGGGTACATCGACACCACGACCTATCCAACGTCCCGGAAAATTTAAATTCAACCTGACAGCTAAGGTACCTACTATGTGCCGGAGCCCCGTCATGCATGTACTACATAACTTGTACACCTAGTGGTATATCCTCCAATAATATCGGGAGATTTTCATTTAAAAATCGAAGATATTCAAGAGCTGTCCCACCATACATTTACACTAAAATTGTGCTGAAATCTTGATGGACATATTTCATGGGGGTTTTCATCAGACCATGTATGACTATTACGATGGTTAACTAAACCACGTCTTTGAAAACATGTCTCATCGGTAAACAAAATATGAGATAAAAAATTTAAGTCGTGTCTGGACATGTTAAGATACCACTGGCAAAAAGACAATCCTTGCAGGTAAATCACATGCAGTTAATTCTTGAACCGGCTGGTGGTGAAAAGGGCGTAAAAGGTTATCACGAATTAAGTTCCAAACAAGGCTTTGCGAAACGTTGTTCTGTGTAGCCAGTCTTCCTGTACTTGTTTGAGGATTTTCTTCTAAATTGATAAGTATAGCTTCTTCAAGGTTTACATTTCTGATATACAGTCTTTGCACATTACCCTCACGCTTAGGTTGAATTTGGACAGTTTCTCGCAACCTTCTTTCCACAGCTGAAAAAGTTTGCCTGTGGGGAACCCGGCGATTTGGGTATCTCTCATGGTACAATCTTGTTGCGGCAGCACAATTTTTCAAAAAATACTTGGAGCATATCAACATATTCATTGTTAGTAAAATTTGCCATAATTAAACAACTATTATTTGAAACCGTTGATGACACTGACACATCAACACAAAAATAGCAAATTTTTTACTCAGAAAATTTGTTTCCGATTTACCAGGAGCAACTATGATGTTGGCGAAGTATTCCCATACTTATCAATTTAAGCAGGAAATCCTCAAACAAATCGTGTTAGATTGTATTCAAAGGAGTGGGAACTACTTTCAAAATATTCTTTACAAAATTTTTACTTTAAAATAACGTTATGTTGTAGTATTACATTCAAGATTACAGTAGGTAGTATTAAATTAGATATTATTAATTAAATTAGACACTTAAAATAATTTTATTTGTTACATAAAGAAAACTCTTAAATAAATTTATTAAAATTACTTTACGAGAAAGGCATTTTTTTTTCTATTACAGAATGGTGTGTTGATGTGTTTGTTACTGCAACCATTGTCGCTGTAAAATTTCCGAAGTTTGTTTTCCGTAAATTATCTAAAAAAAAACTATCGCGTTTATCGAAAAAATGTTTGTTTTTAGTTATTACGTCCGAAAATGTAAATAAGATATGTATTTTCGTACAGGGTGAAAAATTCTTTGGAGTAATATGTTGCATGTAGTCGACAGCAGCGCCTCTGGTGGATATATTTAAACAATATTAATAGAAAGTATGTGTTCGCACTGCACAAATGTCTGTACCAGATATAAATGATTTACGCCACATCGTTCAAGATAAATTGAAGGAAATGTTGGTTGGCTCTACAACATTCAAGACCCTGTAATACCTCAGGAGTGCAACTTTTGTCTAAGGTATATTTAGTTCATTCGCCTTATTTTTTTCATCTAGATGCACTGGTAGCGTTTGTGCTACTCTATTCAAAATCACCCTGTATATGAATAGATATTTACTTAATTATATGTTACGTAAAAAAATGTGTGAATCTCTGGTAATTCCTATTATTAATTATTCTTTTATAGTTTATTTTTCCTGTTTAAACAAATTTACCCAAAATCGATTACAAAAAGTTTTGAATGCCTGCTGCAGATTTGTTTATGGTACCTATGAAGAAATATGATCATGTCACTCAAAGATATAATGAACTCGGCTGGCTCAAGATTATCAATTTGTATAAATATCATATGGCTATTTTTGTGAAAAAATTACTCAAAAACAATTTGCCGCCTCATTAAAGAATAATTTTTTTATCGTAGTGACAGACATAATCATAATCTAAGGTATGTCCATCTTCTTCAATTACCAAGATTTCATACAGCTTTGTTTCAGAGATCTTACTCATTTAATGCTTTAAATGACTTTTAAATATATGCCTGTAAACAGCTTTCGGAAAAAATTTAAAAAGTATTTACTTTCATTTCGTCTTCATTAGCATGTGTTCTGTAGGATCTTATGCTGTTTTATTTTTTTAATAATCTTAAATTTTATTCTACTTTACTTCTTTTAATGATTTTAAATAATATTTTTAATATATTTTATTCAATGTTTACTTTATATATACAAATTTTTCTTGTAAACTTATTAAGGTTAAATAGAGTAGCCATAATAGGCTAGACTTCGCCTGTAAGCAATACCTATATTTTAAATAAAGACATTTATTATGATTATTATTATTATTAAAACTCCCTCTTCTAAATATAGCTACAAATAAATATTTACAAACGATACCTTAATAGTCTTACAAATTAACTTACTTCTAATAAACAAATTAAAATATGTACAGAATATTTATATCTTTTATATCACAGCGTACGAAACATTCATACTTTACTGATAAAAATATTTTTTTAAGGATTACAATCATATTGTAACAACGTCTGTCATCTAGACTTAGATAGAATTAAGTTGTTCTAGGAAATTTCTACAAAAGATGAGTTTTAGTTTTTATAAAAATTAGGTATATGAAATGTAAAATTAGATTACTTTGAACCATTTTATTTTGTGTAATACGTACTTTTCGTTACAATATACTTACAAAACCTGTTAAAACTTACAAATCGTAATATTGTCAGATACTTATATTTAAAATAAATTAATTTATGTATTGGGGGAAAATAGAAATTACAACAACCACACGTTCTGAAAATGTATATTTGGCAAACAAATAGACAGTGTAATTAAATATTCATTACAGGGAGAAAAATGTTATTTGCAATTTAGTGTTCAGTGTTCCGATTTATTTTGATTATATAAATTTTTTTCAAAATGCTGATAACTAACAAGAAATAAAACAAATATGTGTATGTAAAATATATTAAATAGGTTTGATTATTCAAAATATTGTAACTTATCTATGTACACTAGAATACTTAATGAGTTAAAATCACATAAATATTATGTATAGCATCGTACAGACAATTCTGTTTGAGGCGGCGGCGTACAACATATTTAAATCGGTTAAGTAGTTCATAAATCTGACTTATCACATATGGTTGACTTAAATACTATGAGTATAAATCTAATCCTAAAATTAAAATCAGTTCGTTGTTTTCGGTACCACCACAACTGTTGGTACCTCTGAGCTGCTACTACTGAGAGACGCTGCCACTGCTATCCTCATGGCTTCTTCATATGAGGGAGGAGCTGTAACAGAAATAATTTATTTATATGGTACCAATAATATTATTTAGGACAGTCATAGAAAAATATCGTGACATAAAATATAACACATTAATAATAAACATATCTGCAGTTTAGTTTATTAAGTATAACATTGGACTGATTACATTGTTATATATATTTCCGGTAATTATCAGTATTTAAACATACTCTGAATTAATCAATATTTTAACCTAATTTAGTATAAATTCTTTAAGTTATAGGTACAAGGTTACAATATATGTGTTCTATAAATTTCCGATAACTATCATAATTTGAAGATATTTTTGTTGTGATAATGTTTTATTTTAGACAAGAAACTTACAGATTGCAATACATGTTAATGATTGCTCACGTGGACAGCGCACATAAAAAAGTCGCGTTTACATACTCTATAAGTACATTTAATAAATCCAAGTATATTGGGTCGTATATTGCCATAACAATTATTGAGATGTTGAGTGCCTAATGGCATGGAAATTTATACGTGAATGAAAGTTCAATTTAAGTATAAAGATAAATAATGTAATTATTTGTAATTGCACCTTCGATTAACGGTCTTACTCCTCATATCTAGTTCAAAAAGAAGTTATTTTCACTAAATAATTTATGATGACACTTGTCATGTGGAAAAAGGCTAATCCAAAGAAAAAACCGTCTTAACAAACAGAAGATTTTGGGATCTTTAGCATAATAAAAATTTTCTTCATTTGTCAACAACTTTGTCAACATTATCTATATTGATTATACAGTATATAGCTGTAACTTTGTGACAAACTGAATCTTCTCATTAGAACAAACAACAAAAACAAAGGCAATATTGATTATGATCCTTCAAAGATTCGATGTGAAACATAATTGTTCATCAATTCATCAAGAACCATTTCTCAAATTTGACACAGTGCAGTTCTTTCATAGTAGTGTCTTATATAGTTTGAACAAAATCTAATCGATAACGTAGGAATTTAAAAGATTTCAGTTATAAAAAAGAAAATATTGAATAGAGCACTTTCCACCAAAATGTTTGTGCCTGTTGAGTTTTTTAATAGATTGCACATTTGAATTAGAAAGCCATGACAATGTTTTACGCTTGTCAGCAGCAGCTTGTATACAGGGTGATTCACTTTTTATGATAAGGACTTTAACCATCTATAGATCTCGTCAAAATAATGTAATTTTGAAGTATACACTTTTTCTTCCAAAGGCCTCCTTTTAGATATATAAGCTCTTGAAAAAACATTTTTTTTTTGGTTTTTATTTATTTATTTTAAAACTATGAAAGACATTTGTTTTATATTTGGTATGAAGTATACGAATGAAAAGCTGTATCGATTTTATAAATTTTTGTGAAATTTGGTCAATCATAGGCGTCCGTAAGGGGCTCTGATAACCCCAATTTTTAATATAATTTCTACGCCACTGGAAATATTTCAAAATGAATATATTTTTTCTACATTGCGGTTTATTGTACAGCAAAAAAGTTTCTTACTATTTTTAAATGAAATGCTCGGTTTTTGAGAAAAATGGCTTCTAATGGATTCATTGTTAATTTTTTCAAAGTAATACAGAATAAAATATTTAATATTGAGAAACAAACAGCAATAACAATTAACAATAGAGAACAAGAAAAAATATCAACAACACACACATCGCCTAATTAAGCTTTGAACTGCTCTCCTATTCATATTGGGGTTGTATTTAAGAGTTTCACAATTATTTTTAATACTTCTTAACCGTTTAAAAGTACAGACTTTCTTTAATATATCCCCAAACGAAATAATCCATGGGATTTAGAACTGGTGATCGTGGCGGCCAAGCAATATACGCCCGATCTAACGACGTGGATAGTGCTCCCCGATCCACTGCCTAATTTGAAGACCATAATGAGCACCATCCACATATTTTGTCCTTAGAAGTAATCTTAAGTCGTCGAGTAAAATATTTAAATCTTCTTTATTTGAAAAACTTAATAATTTCACATGTATTGAATCCATAAGAAGCCATATTTCTCAAAAACCAAGCATTTAATTTATAAATAGTAAGAGACCTTTTTGCAGAATAAATAAATGTAAAAAAAATATATGCATTTTGAAAAAATTCCAGTGACGTAGAAATTAGGTATATTAAACATAGGGGTTAGCAGAGCCCCTTACAGACGCCTATAATTGATCTATTTTCACAATAATTTGTAAAACCGATAGAGCTAAATATAAAACAAATGGCTTTTATAGTTTTAGAAAAAATAAATAAAAACCAAAAAAAAAAATTTTTTTTCAAGCGCTTATATCTCTAAAAGGAGGCCTTTGGAAGAAAAAGTGTATACTTCAAAATGACATGTTAACGAGATCTATCGATGGTTAAAGTCCTAATCATAAAAAGTGAATTACCCTGTATAAAAGTGCATTATTTTGCATTGATTTCTAAAAAATTAGAAGAATAATGCTTTTTATTTAAATAAATGCTAATGTCTATAAAATTTTAAACTCTGATTTTCCCCTTTTACCGCGACCACTATATTATTCGAAAAAAACTCAAGTTATTAGGTTGGCTATAATCCATCCAAATCTGTAAAAGAAAATAATTCTTTTTGTAACCAAATAACTCCTTTTTGGCAGTTGAGAACCCTCAAAACTCTCCGAATTTTCACGTAATTCATTAGATTTTGTTAAAATTTTACAAAAAGGGGACTGATTGTGAGATCTGTAGCGGGACTCCTGAAATCTCGATGTCGTTTTATCGATATCGAGATAATTACGAAACCAATCTCGATCGATTCGACTCGAAATGTAAATTGGTACTCTTGAAGCACATCGATATAGTCCTCGGATAAGTTCGGCAAATTTGGGGTAATATTGTATACCACCACGGTTAAGGCAACTGAGTGATATATTTATTTCTGTCTAACATATACGTATTTCAGCTATCTATCTCTTTTTGTCCGGCGGCGGCGTCACGCAGTTTATTTAAATTTTAAAATGAATACCTACCTATCATCAAATAAATAAACAGAAATTTATAAAATTATTTATTTAGTCTAAACAGTAAACCATGAAAGTTGATTTAAATGTACTTTATATTTAAAGGTTTTATGCGTACATACTCAACAAATTATTGATATTCCACATCCTAATTTTTTATTCGGTTTGAAATAAAAAACATAAAATACTACCTGTGATTATAATTATTGTTGAACAATTAGAGCGACGAGAAGCATTTAGGAATGAAAATATTTGGAGAAGACAGTTCAATGGATCCATTATAATCTTTACCGGACAAAAAATTTGTGTAATTATTTCGCTTACATAAAAATATTATATGTAATTTAATTATGTCTATTGTTTGACATTTAAAAGAAGTAAAAAGAACTTCGGAAACTATTCAATTCAACATTAAATTATTTTGTGCTTTCTGCTGGTTTTATGCACGGTGAACATCACTGGAATGAGTAGACTTTCTTGCTTCAAGTCAACAAACTATTAATAGAGGTATAAAGAAAGTCACATATAAGTTATTTATTAAAACCTCTCCAACAATTGGATAAAATTTTCACCATTATAGAAAAATATTCCGGTAAATACACACTCATGACAAGAAAAAGATTTGTAATATTATGCAGTATTTATATTTATTTAATGCATAATAAGAAACAGAAAAGGTATCATTCAAAAACTGTTCAAATAGTTGTAGATAAATAGAAACCAAGGATTTTATACAAGTCCTTGTATATAAACAAGTATTTGACACTTCACATTGGGTTAGGTTAAATACGTAAAAATAAACAAAACACAAACGCAAACACATTTGTAATGTTGAAAAGAAACAGCAATAGTCAATACATGTGATAGAAGAAGAGAGCAAATCATTTCGGCTAGCCAAGACTCCTCGTTATTATATCGATTCGAATGGGCGGGGTTTCGATATTATTTCGATGGCAAAATTTTCAAGAGTACCGATATATCGATATTATTTCGATCTCGATTCGGAATCATCGAATCGACATTTCGGGAGTCCCTGCACTGACCTGTATCAAATTGAAGTCTATATCTTCAATCGTTCTTAAGGAGTTGTCAATATCTGTGTTCCACTTCCAATTTTTGAAAGATCATAGAATCCATAGGAATCGTTTTAGGAAAAAATTACATATTTGAAACTTTTTGTTTGTTTTGGCGAAATGTATCAGCCTCGAAAATATGTTGCAACGTCTATTTTAGACCCTGCACCCTTTTTTATGTGATTTTTTAAATTACAACAATGCTAAAACTTTCCATTTAAAAGCACTAGCAATACCTATTATATTCTGATACGAATAATTCTGCAATATACGGTGTTACTCCTGTTACTAAGGCACATTTTTTCAATCAAGCAATAATTAGGTATCTATCCGTCAGTATCATCAATGGGCAATATTTAGAGTAAACACTCATTCTTCATTGTACTTGTTGCCGTGATTAAAAAATTAATTGTACAATGAGGACACATGTCAACTGTTATGACATTCTAAGTGGCTCATATATAACACACACGTTTTTAGATAAGATTTTATCTATTTGTACAATTCATTTTAGCCAGATTTAGTTTTATTTGTGCGAAAAAAATGGAATTCCTTTGCATTTAAATTCACTAGTGACTTGCAAAAGCCGTAGATGACTTCGCAGTCACATAAGTGACATAATTGTAAAATTTCAACAATAGGGTCGTTTTCATAAGTGAAATTTTATACAAAATGTTATTCTACATACGGGATGTCCCATGAGAAAGTATACAGGGTGAGTCATTAATAATGGTACACAGCTTAATGACAGATTGTTAACGTCAAAATACAGCGTTTGAGCCAAACATGCCTTAATCAATTGTTGCTCCCTTTCGTTCTACAGGGTGTTAAAGTTGAAAAAAATATTTTCAATTTTTATCTATATTTTAAGTATGTATCAACCGATTGTTTTAAAAATTTGTAGTTTAACATTTTTTGAGTCACGTCTAGAGGGCGCTAGTTATATTTTAGTTAAGTTTTTGAGATTCGGCAGGAATTAAATTAGCAGGTCTTAAGATACCAAGCCTGAATTAAGAATTAAGACAAACATTACAGCAACTGAAAATTTTATTATGCATATCTTAACAAATTATTAACCACCAGCGAGTTCAATGCACTTTCTTAGCCTTTTATTTAAATTTTGTCTGACGTTAAATAAAGTTCTATGTTGTTTGATGATATGAACAGATTCTTGAATATTTGTCCACAGTTGTTCATGGCCATTAATAATGTTTTTGTAAACTAAAGATTTAAGATATCCTCAAAATTAAAAATCCAGCGGATTTAAAACAGGGCTACGTGCAGGCCAAGGTATTTCGCTACCGTGTCCAATACAGCGGTGCGGGAAATTACTATTAAGATATTCTCTTCTCTAAAAAATAACGACTAGGAAAAAACTACTTCCTAATCAAATTGAGTAGAATTGGCAGAAACAATATGGTATTGTAGTGACAGCTGTCAAGTTATTATGTCAATGCCCACTAATTTGGAAAAAATAATTTTCTAATTTAATTCCCATCGAATCTCAAAAACTTAAAACGTCTGTATCTCGCAAACAGTTAAGTTTATCGATTTGTAACAAATGTACCTTTTTTATTTAGAATTGAACGTAGTTCAATAATTTCTAAAAATAATAGTAAAATATAAAAAGTTAGTCATATTTTTACATTGACAAGACTGTACAACTAGCGACCCCTAGACGTGACCCCAACACTATTTGCATATTCGTATTTGCCACCTCAAAAAACGTAAAACTTCAAATTTTTTAAACAATCGGTACATACATAATTAAAATATAGCAAAAAATCGAAAATATGTTTCAACACCCTGTAGAACGAAAAGGAGCAACAATTGATTAAAGCATGTTTGCCTCAATCGCTATATTTTGACGTTAACAATCTGCCATTGAGCTGTGTACCATTACTAATGACTCACCCTGTATAACTACATCATTTTCGAGGTATGGGAATTAAAATTTTTCGAAATAAAAATAAACTTTTTTAAATATTTCAGAAACATGTAGTGGTAGATTTGCAAATTTTTATAAGGTAATACCTACAGAATCAAGAGAATAATTCTGTATTTTAATTGCCAGTGTCGTAGTTATGGGGGCCAGAACCTTTCGATAAACGTAACATCTACGTCTATGACTTTTTTTGGGAATACATATGCGTACTTGATTAAAACAATACATATGAAAAAAACTGTTGTTAAATTTTCGTATTTTCTTAGATTTTGAAGTAAATTATACAGGGTGGTCCACTTTTTTTCGATCAAACTTCAGGAATCAATACATTATCAAAAAATAGTGTTAGTTTGTTTCCCGAAAAAAAAATATATTTTTCGAATTTTTCTGTAGGTGATGAGGTTTCATCCGTAAGATTTTTATAAATGATTTGGCACTGTACGTGTGATCTTTAGAGAATTTTTAAATTTTTTTACTTTACCAGTGGTGGAGAAAATAGGGGTCCCCATTGTATTAGTAAAAAAATATTGGTACGCCACTGGCTTTAAATTTAAAAATCAATATTTTTTGGATTCTCCACTTAATTTGGGACAAAAAATTATCCTTGTAAGTTTTTCGTAACTATTATCATTTTCAAGTAAAATTTATTTACTTATTTCTATACAATAACGTGGACATATTACCATGCGAATTTATTATTTGTTATGTTTTACTTGCCTAAACATAATTTGCCTAATTCTAATACAAGTGTTCATAAAAATCTGATAAGTCGAGAGTTTCTTAAATCGTAAGACGCCTTCGATATTCTTGAAGATTGTTTGGCGTTGCTACCGCAATTTCCGTAAACGTGCATATCACTTCAATCCCGTACAAGATCTACATCCAGGAGATGCTGAAAAAAGGTTAAGCTTTTGTCAATGAATTTATTCGAAATATTTTATGGACCGATGAAGCTTGTTTTACAAGAAGAGGCACATTTAATTATCACAACAGTCATATTTGGGCTCATGAAGTGAGACGCCGATCATACCAGCAAGAATTTAGTTTTAATATCTGGTTAGGTGTGATGGGTGGAAATATTTGTGGACCTTATGTATTACCTCCAAGGCTAAATTCAGTATCATTTGCTAATTTTCTGGAAAATAAGTTATTTCAATTACTGGAAGATATTCCCTTAAACCAAAGATATCGCAGTTGGTTCCAAATGGATGGAGCTCCAGCTCACTCTGGTCAAATAGTTCGCAACTGAATGAATGTAAATAATCAGAACCGCTGGATACGACGTTTGCCATATGAACCGTTGTTTAATGTGGAGCCGGTGCCTTGGCCTCCTAGATAACCAGATCTCAACACCCTCGACTACTATGTATGGGGTACGTTGAAAGATGATGTTTACTCTGTACCAATTGAAGACAGAAATCAGTTGCAGAGAATAATAATAGACGCCTGTGATAATCTCAAGCAGAGGCCACATGAAATCATCGCGGGGATAAATTCTTTAATACGAATATGTGAAATGTGTATTAATGCAGCAGGCGGGCATTTCGAACAACTTCGTTAGATGTTATGCAGCTGTAATTATTTTCAATAGTTTTGTTAAATATTGATTATTGAATTGATACAGTAATTATTTTATTGTCGTGCAATTTGTAGGTCTATTGTAATAGTAATAATAAATAAATTTTACTTGAAAATGATAATAGTTACAAAAAACTTACAAGGATAATTTTTTGTCCCAAATTAAACGGAGAATTCAAAAAATATTGTTTTTTAAATTTAAAGCCAGTGGCGTACTAATATTTTTTTACTAAATCAATGGAGACCCCTATTTTCTCCGTCACTGGTAAAGTAAAAAAAAATGAAAAATTCTCCAAAGATCACACGTACAGTGCAAAATCATTTATAAAAATCTTACGGGTGAAACCTCATCACCTGCAGAAAAATTCGAAAATTATATTTTTTTTCGAGAAACTTTAACGCGCTGTATCTCAAAAAGTAAACATTTGTCGGGTATAGTTTATTTGGCAAACTAACATTATTTTTTGATAATCTATTGCTTCCTGAAGTTTGATCGAAAAAAAATGGACCACCCTGTATAATAATTAACTTTCTATTTGTGTTACAAAGGGAATGCCTTTTTTTAAGATTTAATTGATAAGCTGAAATATGGAAGAATTAAATCTGATTAAAGTTTATATACGAAAATAAAAAATAAGTATAAACATAAGAAATACGTAAACATTGTGTATAACTGTTATTACTAGGAAAGAAAATACATATAACAAAAAACTTTAACGTTGATTAAAAATGTACTCTGCTTTGTTAGGAAAACCACTGTTTCTAATTTTGCTTACAACTTAGTTTATAACTTACAAAGTATTTTTTTTATTTACCGGTTTTATTCTTGTTGCATAATATATAGAACATTCAAAACATGATTTACATGTTTACTCTAAAATTTATTTAAATACCAAATTTTGACAATCTTTTTCTTAAGTGTTGTATCAACCAAATATACACATATATTTAAAAAAAGTCATAGACGTAGAGGTTACGATTCACAAAAGGGGGTACAGTTTATATCTACGACACTGATGACTGATGTGCAGAATTACTAGTACGATTCTGTAAACTCCAGGCGCAGGCGCAACAATAAATAACAACTTATTCTTGTGGTGCAGGTATGACCAAAATAAATTAATTTTGTGAAGCTATCATTACTTGTTCTATATATTTTTTTAATATTTCTATGTTCCGAAAACAGTTACTGTCCGAATAATAATATTTTGCTAACGAGTGGAATGTTCTCATAAAATTTTGAAAAATGTATGCATGTCGGAATCATAGAATTGTTTTTACCTATAGCTGTAGCACATTTCGACCAAAATTTGTCAAGTGAACTGATTATCTACATAGTGGTTTTAACACTTTCACGGCCCGTGTTCATATTTACAGTACGATGGCTTGCCCTTGTTGTTCTCGAGCTAGGCTCTGTGAGGGCGGATCAGCTATTAGAACTTCTACATCCGCGCTAATGTTTATCTCGATTCTTTTTGGATCTACGGAGGGAACCATTCCCCAGGTAATGGTAATCCATTGAGACATTCCGTAGTGGCTTCTGCAACATGGCATAACAACCCGAAAAAACAGGGTACTGTAAATACTTATCTACATTTTTAGTGCGGTTTGTAATTAAAACCCGCCGGATTGTAATTAAAAGCTGCTTTAAATACTTTACATTTTTATGTAAACACCTGTTATTATAGATATTTAAAGTAGCAATGCATGTGTATTAGTCACAGAATGCTAAATAACCGCAATTTAAACTTGAGTGCGCGTTATAAATAATGGATTCTAAACTTACCGTCGTCGTAGTTTGGCTTGTTTAGTTGATTGGAAATGTTAATGTGATCTATTGATAAATAAGCATCCTGACTAGAATGCTGCTGTTCTTCTCCTTGTACTCTTCCGCTTATGCTGTATATATCATCTTGATGGTGTGCTGCAAATAAAGTAGACACATTAACCTAAGCCGATTAACTCGGTATTGGAAGGAGATTCTAACACAGCATTGACCGTGGCAAAGGTCATTGTTAAAATTCCTTGTTTGAAATTTATGTACAAGCCAGTTCTTTCATTTACTTTAGGTTAAAAGAGTTACGGTTATTCAAATTATGAAATCTTATCAAATGAAGTCATATAATACTCTTTCATATTAAAGTATATGCGGGCAAACGATATCTAGTTTCATAGGCAAGCAAGTCATTAATAATAATTATCCAAAATAAAAAATGATCCAGAAGAGACCACACGCATAGTCTCTATTCTCGTTCTAACATCATCTTTGACAGATACCATCACTGTAAAGGATTTTCAAATTTGAGTTAACTTTATAAAGTTGCCGCCATTTGTGTTTTTTGTATTAGTATGGTTTGATTTCTTGCCAGCTGTTAAGTAGAGACATGACGGTTAATAAATATGGAGAAGTATATTATTGAACAACGCGTCTTTATTGTTAAAAATTATTTTAATTTGGTGAAAGTTATGTAGAAGTTGGAAGAAAATATCGTATGGAAAAACAAATAGTCCAACAAACATCACCATTCGAAATATTGTGAATAAATTTGAAGAAACTGGTTCAATTCAAGATCAAAGAAGTAAAATTTACAGTTGTCGTTCGCATGAAAATATGCTGTCACTGCAGAACCAAACACATCAATTTGTCATCGTTCACAGCAATTAAGCATTAAACAAACCTCTTTATCCAACATTTTGCATAAGGATCTTCACTTAAATTTTGTAATTGAATAATTTCTCAAAGAGATGTTAATTGGCCATCAAGACCACCATTATACTTCTTTTTATGAGTTTTTTTTAAAGAACAAAGTTTATGCTGACATTTCTCAAACCATTCAAGATCTAAAAGAAAACATAATTGAGCAAATCACTCAAATTGAACGGCAATTTGAAGGCTTGTAGTGCTACAAGAAGTGGTTACTTATCCGACATTCTTTTCCATTATTATTAACCGCAACATGCTTCTCTTAACATCCAATAAAGGTATCTAATTATTTCGAATAAATTATGTGTATTAATAAAAAATTAAAAAGTTAACTCATATTTGACACCCTCTATATTTAGCCAAGATAGATGAAATCTGACCTACACCTGCAATTTATGGATTGTTTTTTCAGGTGACTTCATTCTTAAACTATATAACAAAACATAAATCTTTCAGACAAAAATAAATTTTGATATGAAATGTCAAAAGTCTTTTTAAGATTTGTATCTTGTATATAATTAATATTCAAATATTTATTAATTTCACTTAAAGAAGAGGCCGCTTGGAAAGGCAATCCTTAAGATATTGAAATAGGTCAGACCTCATCTACCGGAGCTGATTACATTATGATATTTGTTAAAGGCAATATTAAACTAGAATAGATACTTTTTTTTGAAAGTTTACATTATTTAATGATTTCAATAAGCCAGGTATGTATTTGTTTTTATTAATTAGCAACCTGTCTAAGAAGTTATCCTTAGCACACCCAGATGTTGGTACCAAAAAGCGTTATGACAATATTGATAAGTTTTGCTTAAACTTAATATTTGAATTAAAAAAGTAAGGTAAAAGTACAGGAGATGATAAGAAAAAAATTGTTATTTCATATCACTTTCTTAAAATAATTTGACGAATATAAAATTATATTATCATATGAAATTTATCTATAGGTATCTAAATAACAAGAATCATAAAGAAATATCTTCTGCAGCTATATAGAAAGCAAAATACGTAGTTTAAAATAAACAAAACTTGGTGCCAAAATAATCAGTGGTTGTTTACATAACTGATGTCGAATAAGAATAGGTATTTGCATTATAGAAATTAGACATTTTGGGTTTTTTTTAAATACAATTTCGGGATATAATTAATTAAAAACAACTTTATAAAAATAACCTGTCATTGATCATGCTGACAAGGATGTTTAGTTATCCATACATTTTTTTATTCCACTTTAAATGTGGTAAACTAAATATCACCTGATGATTCCGCAAATAAATAATTTAGCAACAACAGGTAATATTAACACAATAATTATCATTTTCTTTATCTTTAGATCCTATTTCTTTTATTAGTCTTAATAGGATATACAAAAATAATCAGTGAACAATTAATCGTTTGTTTTACAAGCAAAGTATCAAAAGTATTTAAGATATTAATTTTTGTTTTAAGCATTTCTCTTTATCGTGAATTTAAGTTGAATTTAACTGATAACTCATTATTATACAGTCCCATTTTTTATCCCAACACATCAGGTATTGTATCATTAAAAATCATTCCGTTCATATATGTTTAGTCCTTGATTAAAAACAGTGATTATGTGTACGCAATTGGCATATGAAAGAGAAGAAAACAAAAGCGGCCTTTAAACCATTTCCTCGTTTTCAAAATTAGATGACGTGGTTATTACTGCATTTTTATTATCGGCGTAAATAGGTCTACTTTTAAACATGGAAATGAATGATGAATAAACGTACTTTTTAACAAATGTCTATATTATTATCTAAATTAAGTAGGTAGGTGCCTGATATGTTTTCTGATATTATAAACTTAGCTGTGTATCCCAAGTTATTCTATATTACTGATCAAAGTAGGTAAATATAAAACAAAATAATAAAAATAAGGAATAAAAATGTATAATCTATTTTTGATATAACAGAACTCATGGTCGTAGAGAGGAGCATGGAGAGAGGGCATGTCCAACGTATCTAAACTACAAAGCAGTAGCGTAATGAGGAATTTTTAAGAGGTGCGAAAAACGAGGAAGAGCTCTATAAAATTCTCAAATGTTTTATACAAACAATATGACTGTTAGTTATTGTTATGAGTTAAACGAATGTAGTTTACGAGAGCACAGAGATCAAGAAAATGTTGTTTCTTAATTAACCCTCTAATTTCTCGTTCAGTTTTCTATTGCCATATGCAAACCTGAAGCAACTATTTCGTATTGAGCAAGACCATAGTCAGACACAAAGTAAGAGAGCTTTAAGAATGCTAGAGAGCTACGTACGCTGATTTTTAAAGATCAACAGAAATTGTTTACATGTTTAACAAATCTTAGCTCCTCTTCAACCCAAAGACCTAAGTCATCAATTAGTAAAATTTAAATATTAAATTCATCGCTATTCTTGCAATAAAATGTTACTTTTTGGGGCCTTTGACTTTTCAGAATACAACTTTAATCTGTGTATCAGTACGACAACTGAAATACACTTGGGTATCGTTAGCACAATGATGTAGAGAACATGTATATAGAGAACAATAAAGGTCATAAACTGGAGCCCTGTGGAACCCCACGACATATCGACAAGAAGCTTTAGAATTCACAATTACTGGCTGTCTCGGATAATACGGCACAGTTACGTGAATGACGCTGTACATATATCGTTGTAATATAATAAAAAAGAGCATATTTAAAATTACTAATATAGGATGTAAAACTTTCCTCTATACCATTTTGTTCTATAAAGACAAATATATACAATGGCGGTGGATTGTTTATCCCTGTAGATGAATATGAATTTTTTATTTATTTCTTTATTTGTTCAGTAAGGTTTATAGCTTAATTAAACTCATCTTCTCCCGAGAAATTAGTCGAGGAAATGAAGCACTGAACCTCCAAAATCTGTGCAGTAAGATGGATCGTGATGCGGTTTTTTGCATTCGATTCGTTAGAGCGTCCAGAAAGTTTGTGACCCTATGTGATCAATGAGAAATGAAAACTGCATCGGTGCATAAGAAAAATGCATTTTTAAAATTGCATCTCGAAGAGTTAAAATATAAAAAATTTATAACTCGGAAAATATTGACGGAAAAGAGTTCAATTTTGCTAATAATAATAATTACTTTAGATATTGGATAAAGCTTATGAAGATGACATCAGTACCTCGGAGACCATTACCGTTGTGATATTCGTGTTGAGCGGTCCCAAAAAACCCGAGCTAACGAGTTTCGGCTATGTTTATAACGAATTTCCACAAAACTCCAGGAGATGACGTGGATCGGCCACCTTGGGCACTAGATACCTCGGAGACCGTTGCCGTCGTGATATTCATGTTCAGCGACCTCAAAAACCGCGAGGGAACGAGTTGCGGCTAATTGTAAGTTTATAACGAATTTCCACAAAATTCCAGGAGACGACGTGGAAACCGGCCACCCTGAGCACTAGGTACCTCGGAGACCGTTGCTGTCGTGATATTCGTGTTCAGCGACCTCAAAAACCCCGAGATAACGAGTTTCGGCTAAGTTTATAACGAATTTCCACAAAACTCCAGGAGACGACGTGGAAACCTGCCACTCTGAGCACTAGGTACCTGGGAGACGTGATATTCGTGTTCAGCGACCCCAAAAACCCCCGAGTAGCAAAATTGAACTCATTTCCGTCAATATTTTCCAAGTTATAAATTTTCCATTTTTTAACTCTTCGAGTGCAATTTTAAAAATGCATTTTTCTTATGCACCGATGCTATTTTCATTTCTCATTGATCACATAGGGTCACAAACTTTCTGGAGGCTCTAACGAATCGAATGCAAAAAGCTGCATCACGATCCATCTTACTACACAGATTTCGGAGGTAAGGCCGTTTTTAGTGCTTTAATTCCTCGACTAAATGCGCATATCAAGAAGAGAGACCGCACTAGGAGTGATCGAACACCTTAATGACACATTTACACAAAGCCAGTTGTGAAGACATTCCACTAAGCCAATCCAACATTGGCATCGTGTAACCAAGGTAACCAAGCCACTCCACTAATTAGAACGGTTTCTAATTTTAGGAGCCAATAGCCTCAACTTGGTCATTGGGTTGGCTTAATGGAATGTCTTCACAACTGGCCTCGTGTAAATGGGCTATAATAGTCGGAGCCTTCTGTGTAATGTTATACATAGCTTTCAACGTTTAGACGGAGAATGAGCTCCGGTGCTACTCTGGTAACCTTGT